CTTTTTGTTTCATTCAGTCAACGTGATACATAAATGTAAAAGAATGTGTCAACATATATTAAAATTGTTGTGGAAAAAACCAAAAAAAAAATTGTTGATGGGAAAAACCTATTCTTGTTATTGAAAAATTCTTTTAGTTTTTTATATTTAATATTAAAAGGCGCAGAACAGTAGCAAAAAGCAGTATGCCATCCTAAAATTATTTTCCTCAGGCAGATAAGAATAAGAGTTGTTTTTCCCATGTGTAAATCGACGTTTGTTGTCTTTTCCGTTGCGTTAGTTTCCTTCTATATTTCTAGATATTGAGAATACAACCAGAAGAACATGTCATCATCTTCCTGCCGCTTTGGTAATCAATGCACGGATAAAAACTGCATGTCTATTCATCCGCAGCGTCAAACTCGTGGAGTAAATCCAAAGCCGGACACGTACATTGAAAAATACAAAAGTCCTGAATGTACTTTTACACATACAAAACCAAAACGCATTGACGATACGAATGATAACGACGACGAGGGGTCAGACGATTCCGAACAATCATCACGTTCATTTTTATCTGTCAGACAAGATGAGCCAATATCACGTATTCCGTGTTCTAACGGCTTAAATTGTGAACGAATAGGATGCCCGTTCGATCACTGCTCAAGTACTGTGCGAATGTTATCTCGACCACAGGATAAATCTGTACATCGCGTAACAGAATGCAGACATGGATCAGAATGTACCAGAAAAGATTGTTATTTTAATCATCCATCAAGCAGTGTACGAGCAGTGTCACGAACACGAGACGGTTCTACAACTCGAACAACAGAGTGTCGAAGGGGATCAGCGTGTACTCGAGAAGTATGTCATTTTAACCACTCTTCAAATGCACCTAGCACGACTCAGATAATCGAGAAACTGAAAATCTCTTTTGAATATTTCTACACTGCCTTAATTTAGCGCCCACGTAACGAGCCAGTAAGTGCACTAAAACCAACGACACTTGCGAGTGCTCTCAAACTACCAATTGCTCGTCCAAACGTGACAGAGAAGGTGATACGAGCTGAAAGAAAACAGAACACACACATTCGACCAATGACAACTGATAGCTGGAGTCTTCGATTGGGCACAGACGTCGATGATTTACTTCGAAATCACGATGAATTGATTAAAAACTGTCAGGAAAAGAGTGAAGATCTTGAGCAAAATCCGTTACTAGACGAGATGAAAGCCCAACGTGATGAGTTTTGTCGAGAAGCAAATAAAATCCAGGCGGAACTGAACAGTGGAAGGAACTTCGAGCAAACAAATGCACGTTTGACGCGTGAAATGCGCCGATTACAAGCTCATTTGCCTATTTATGCAAGACGTACATCTATACTGAATGAAATTAAGAAAAATCAAGTGGTTGTCTTGAAGGCCGATACAGGTTCCGGGAAAAGTACTCAGTTGATTCAGTACATTCACGACAGTGGTCTAGCAAAAAACGGTGAGGCACTCATTCCCATTTTGGAAAAATATGAGATAATAAATATTTTAGGTTACATTGTATGCACTCAGCCGAGAAAATTGGCATGTCGAACACTAGCAGCTCGTGTTGCAGAAGAATATGGTTGTCAAATAGGCGAAGAAGTATGGAAAGAAGGAAGAATTGTCGGTTTTATGTAGTAACTGCTCTTTCTGCTAGGTTGGATATCAAGTTGGAAATAACCGAAAATTATTGACTTCAACAATGATGAGGTTTGTAACGGATACTCTGTTTCTAAATGAACATATCCGTGATCCGCTTCTACAACAATATTCGATTGTTATTGTTGATGAAGCACATGAACGAAAAGTTGACACAGATTTAGTATTTGGAATAATGAAGCAATGTTTACGACGAAGAAAAGATTTGAAGGTTAGTGGAAAGAGTTCCTATTACAGGAGCGAGTCGGCGGGCAAATCGCATCTTTTTTCTTCAGTTAATTGTCATGTCAGCTACTCTGGACATGTCACTGCTCAACACATATTTTTCGCCACAATTCACTGTGAGTTTGATCGAAGTTAGTGGGCGCACATTTCCCATCGAAGACGAATATCTTGACGATGACCCTGAAAGTTATGTTTTGACAGCTGTTGCCAAAGCATTCGAGATTCATCAGAGTAATCAACCGGGCGACATCCTCGTCTTTCTCACCGGTCCCGAAGAAATTGATCAAGCCATCAATGAACTTAAACCAAAGTTGATGAAAGAATTCAATCCAGCACGGGTGTTACCACTGCACGGAAAATTAACAGATGACAACAGTGCAAAAGTGTTCGAAAAATGTCCGGATGAGAGAAAAATCATTTTTTCGACAAATGTTGCCGAGACAAGCGTAACAATTGATGGCGTTAAACACGTCATTGATTCGGGTATGGTGAAAGAAAAAATGTGGGATGAGAAGAGGAAAATGCAAATACTCAAAATTGGCTACGTTACTAAAAGCTCAGTGAAACAGCGACGAGGCAGAGCTGGTAGAACGTCATCTGGAAAGGTAAAAACGCTAGAGAGAATAGAACTACAGAATTACGTGAGAAAGACATTTTAGTGCTACCATTTGTATACTTTGGAAACATATGAATCGTTAGAAGAATGTCCATGTGCTGAAGTTTTATGCACTCAACCGAGTATGGCTGTGCTGAAACTGAAACGTTTAGGAATCGAGAACGTTGAAACGTTCGAATGGCTTGAATCCCCCTCTAAGTTGAGTATCCAAGAAGCCATTCAGAGTCTGAAATGGCTACAAGCACTAGATGAGCGAACAGGAGAATTAACTAACGTTGGTAGGCGAATAGCCGACATGGCCGTAAACCCAATGTTGGCCACCATGCTGCTCAAAGCAGAGCAATTAGGCTGCCTGAATCATGCTCTCATTCTTGGCGGAATGTTGACTGTCACACAAAATCTGTGGTGGCGAGGTATCGATGATAAATCAAGACAATTAGCAACGGAAGCTCGAGCAAAGTTCATCCATAAACTGAGCGATCATTTGACACTTGTCAATGTCTATCTGAAATGGAATGCAGTTGACGACGTTGAACAACTTGAATGGTGTAACGAGAATTATTTGAATGCAAAAGCAATG